GAAGATGAAGGAAACAGTCTTCGGGGTGCAAGCTAGATTCTTAAAAGAAAATCCACGGGCATTTTTTACTCCTTGCGTTTGTCACAATTATAACCTAGTATTGGGAGATGTGGCAAAAATTTGCCCAGAAACTTCTTCTTTGGTATTCTCCAACACCTATATGTTGTTTTTGGCATCTTCCAAAAGATGTTTAGTGCTTCTCAAATATGTAAAAGGACTTACTGTGAAGCCGCTTTGTGATACTATCAGGTTCAATGTTCCGTCTTACTTTCCTTGGGAACATGCACAGACCTGACTCGGAACAGGGAGCTTACTACAGCTATGTTCAATAAATGTGGGAAGTAGACAAGATACACAGGAAGGGTATACGAAACCCTTTATTTTTCACTCTTTACAATAATTTCGTACTTCGGAATACAGAGACCAACTACTTGTGGTCTGAACGTAAGAATATAAAAATATTTAACTAAACTCTAACTTAACTTTGGAATAATAAACAAGGGCTTACGTGGAAGATTGGCCTTATATTAACAGGAAGCCGTATGTAGTACAGAGAACTGTTAACACTACAATACGTTTAAAAATTATCACGAGGATTAAACCTCTGGCCTGGAAGGCAACCAGCAACTGAGTAAAACTGCTAAGGTAAGCGGCCTGCTTCGACTAACTCCTTCCTCTCTCTCGCTTGGCAAAAAGCCACAACTTAAGTACTTGGCGTTCGCCAGACAAATTTGCATAAATAAGTTAAAGCTTTTAATTCTGGCCGGAAGTAGAAAATAAGAAGTGATAGTAAACATTTAAAATAAAAATAAACGTTAGTAAAACTTAAGATCCTTACAATACCAGGTGGGAATGTAGAATTCAAAGCGTAAAAGCAGTAAGATACCAAACAAATGAATTTTATGATGCTCTTTTCGAAATATCAGAAATTTCCGAAGATTCACAAGTTAAAAGCGAAGCAGAATCTCTGGGAAATGCAATGAAAGACTATAAACTTTTAGTATCACTGGTTTTTTGGTACGATTTACTGTTCCAAGTCAATTATGTTAGCAAGGAACTTCAAAGTGAATCTGTAGACGTATCCATTGCACTTTCTCATTTGAAAAACTTTTAAAATGGTTAAGCAACTACAGAAATACTGGATTCGAACAAGTTTTAGTTCCGGCAAAAACTTTTGCAGAAGATTTCGAAGTATCAACAGAATTCCGAAATAAAAGGCTTCGGAAAGGAAAAACATTTCTGTCGTAACCCTCACAGTATAGAATGGAGTAAATGAATTTAAACTCCGGGTATCTTCGCATTCCAGAAACTTTGATGACTCTAACTTCTTTTGATTTATTGCTAGGTTGTTTTTCCGTTAAGTGTTTCCTGTACTCTGAGTGTGCGTTAAAATGATTAATAAATGGTGTGTGTAAACTTTTAGTAGCTTTTTGGATTTAAGAAAACAGCTTTCCCAGCGTCAACATCTATTTACGGGCAAAGAGACAAGGTAAGAATATTTAAGATTATTCCATTTGTTTCAACTGTTTAATTAGAATTTAGATTGCTCGATCTTGGCGCCCGAACAGACACGCTGGTTTTTTAATAAAGAGAAATAGATAATAATGGATGCATTATTAAAAGTGAGAACACCAATTAGAACAAATTTGGGTAAAATCCTAGTATACGGTGCAGCCTTGGCGCGATTTTGAAAATTAACCCCAACACCAAAAATGACTTGAAGAACGTCTATGTATTACTAACACTATATAGTATCACTATATACATGGTATATACTATGTTTAACGATATATATTCTTTGAATGACCTCTTACTACTCATCGTTTGTCCCGTTTTTACTGCTCATCATAAAGTCGCCAAAAGTAGCCAAATCCCTTGTGCACCGGATACTAGGATTAAATCCAAATTTGACCAAAGTCGCTAATAGGCTAGATGAAGCTCTAAAAGCTAAACTGATAGATTCAGAAGAAATTGATCTAGCATTTTCGCTATTAAACGATAGGTTTACAAAATTAGAAGCTATTGATCGAGATACGAGTATTTTAGACCTTTTACCAAAAGATCCGAACATCGGATCTTTTGGTAAATATGTAAGATTCAGCATGAAATGAAGTAAATATGTAAGATTCAGCATTGAAATAAAGAAGTATATATGTAAGATTCAGCATGAAGTAAATATGTAAGATTCAGCATTTGTGCATCATATATTTGCAGATTTTGAATTTTTTCTTTTCCTCTAATAGAATTTATTAGTCTTCCAACATGATACCTTAGGACGAGGTATATTAATTTCATAACTGAAAAATACTGAGCATTCATAGGGTAATGTTGCCATTTAGAATCAAAAGCAAACACTAGACACTTACGATTATAGCTTTTGGTGTAGAAAAATTAGCATTTTTTCGGACGTTAAAAATTTGACAAACAACCGGTATATATTATATACCGGTGCCCTTTAAAGGGGCCTTAGGTACCTTAGGTGTTACCTCCGATAAATATGCAGCTATGCTCTATCCTCTGGTGGAGAGTTTGTTTATCAGAGGATGTTTTGAAAATATGGGAACGGCATATCTCTTCTCTTTTAGTTAACGAAAAGGGGAAGTAAATAAATTAGCTGTTCTAATGGAATTTTTAAAATCAGAAGTGGATGGGGAACAAAGACTTGCGATTGCTAGAAGTGTTGAAATTATTTCTTTTTCTCTCCGATGGAACCAATTTGTCTTTTATTATTTATCGTCTGTCGCCGACTAGGTCACGTGACTGGCGGCAGAGAAAGAATGTAATAACTCTTTTAGTTAGTTTTGAGTTCGACGCTTGAAATGATCTGTTCTTGGCCGCATAGCGGTAATCAACAATTATAATAATTGTTTGTGTTAACCTAATCTTGGACCTATGATGGGGAAATTTATATTATATGCAAATTTTGTGTTTTGAATAATGTAAATAATGTACATACGCTCTTCATTAAATATTTCTGTGTTTCAACTGGAAGTTCTTATTTTCAAGTTGAGTCTTTATGTGAAAATGGTATATTGACTCTTGATTATACTAGTATATTCTTGACTAATTTGATGCTCTCCCAACTCGTGAATAAAATAGAATCGTGAATTCGTGATCATAAAACGTACAAGTTTTTATACAAGAAGTTCATTTGATAATGAAAGGGAGCCTCTCAAAAGATCATCTAAGCGAAATCGTAACGAAAATAAATGTGATATATCTCATCGACCGATGTTAGTCTTTTAAATACGAATGGTTATGACGAAAAGAAGTTTATTTATTTTTTTTTTTTCGAGAAAAACACGATTCTCAAGATTGCAATAAACGGAAAAAAAAAAGGTTGGATGGAAAAAGGGATATAGCTAAGAGAGCTGGTTGTTGCTTTTCCTGCATTAAGATGGGACATGTTTCGAAGCCATAGTGGAATAAAATGCTTTATATGTAGTAAATTTCATTGTACTGCTATGTGTCCAAATCCGTTATTTGAATCGAAAGCAGATGTTCAAAAATCAGTTGAAAACCCGAACTGTACCCAGCTCAAGGATCAGGCCCTTACAAGTTAGTCTAACTACTTGTAAGTTACAAACATTGCAAGTTTATGTTAGGGGTAAAAATGGTAGACACATCGTATGAGCCCTTTATGATACAGGAAGTCAACATTCTTATATTAGTGCCAAAGCAGTTAAGCTATTTAACTATGAGTGTTTAGGAGAGATACTAATAGTTCACAGTTTATTTGGTGGTCTTGAATCTCTTCAACAGAAGCATCGCCACTTTAGAGTGTATTTGACTAGTTTAGATGAGAATTACAGTTGTAATTTTGAAGTACTAGAACAAGAAAAGATTTGCGGAAATGTAATGAAAACCCCACAAGGCCCATGCATGACAGATCTTCGCAAGAGAAGATAACTTTGACTGATAGTACCAATAACGCCTTACAAGAAACTGATCCTGAGATTGATCTACTTATCGGAGCGGATGTGGCTAGTAAACTTTTAAATGGGAAAGTACAAGTTTTGGCTGATGGTCCCGTTGCAGTTGGTACTCATTTAGGTTGGACTTCATGGGAGAGATTCCACAGGTATCCAAAGTATCTGAATCTTATTTGTCTATCATATCTCTACTCACCCACGACTTTAACCTTCCAGACATGTGGAGTTTAGAGCGTATAGGTATTGCAGATCCAGTTGAAAGCCAAACTGCTGCGGAATTGCAACAAGCTGCACTTGTGCATTTTCAGCGTAGTCTAAAAGTTAATGATGAGGGAAGGTATGAAGTAACGTTACTTTGGCTCAAATTGCATCCCACACTTCCTGAGGGTAAAGACTTAGCCTAAAGAAGATTGCGCACTACAGTTAAGAGACTCAAACAGCTAACATCTTAGAAGCCTATACAAACGTGGTTAAAAGGATGGAATAATTGAAGAACTGAAAGAAGATGAGGTAATGACTCCTGGCCATTTTTTGCCTCATCAAGCGGTAGATAAGAATTCAGCAACAACAAAAATTAGGCGTGTGTTTTATGCTTCAGCGCATACTAAAAACTCGGTATCTCTGAATGAATATTTAGCGAAAGGTCCGAAGCTCATGGAACTCATTCCAGCGATATTAACTCGTTTCCGCATGAAAGAAGTTGCTGTCACAGCAGATATAAAACAAGCCTTCTTGCAAGTTAGTATCTCTTAAAGTGATAGGAACTATCTTAAATTTCTCTGGATGGAAGAAGGGGATCCAAATAAGTTGAAAATCTACAGACACTGTCGTGTCGTTTTTGGACTTACGTCCAGTCCCTTTTCGTTGAGTGCGACGTTAAAATACAATTTAGAAACTATTCCTCCTCAGTTTAAAGACACAGCTTTGATCTTACTAGACTCCTTTTATGTCGATAATTGTCTTGCTAGTTTTGATAGTGTTAAAGAGTCAGAACTATTCGTTGAACAGTCGTAAGAATTGTTACTCTCGGGTAAATTTGAGTTGAGAGGCTGGCGAAACAATTACTCCATGTTAGAGACTGTAAAGTTCCCAAATGAGAATGCTAATAGACTCGAGAACCCAAACGAAAAAAATTTAGTATGGGTTTTAGGATTAAAAAGGGATATGACATCTGATGCATTATTTTTCAATTCCACTTATCATCAAACTGCAGATCTTCCCGTTACAAAAAGGAAGATTTTAGCTGTAGAGCAACAAATATATCATCCTTTGGGAATGATTTGCCCATTTACACTGTTGCCAAAATTGCTACTACAAGAATGTTGGAAACAGAAAATAGCATGGGACACAGAATTACCTGAAGCTCTCAGGAAGAAATTTTTAAGCTGGCAAAATCAAATAACGCATCTGAAAAATATCATTATTCCTAGATGGATGACGAAGAGAACTTCTCCGGAGAAGCAGTGTAGTTTACACGTGTTTGCTTATGCCAGCAAGAATGCTTATGCAGCTTGTATTTTTATCCGAATTGAAACCGAAGAGTCTGTATCTGGCGAATTCGTTAAGGCTAAAAATACAATAACCCCGCTAAAGACAATCACAGTTCCCAGACTGGAACTCCTAACATGTTTGATTGCTGCTCGTTTAGCTGCTAACGTAGATTTAAAAAGACCAGATATTGAAACTCATTACTGGACAGATTCTAGCAATGCCTTAAGTTGGATCAAACGAGATGAGCATTGAACAACTTTTGTCGCCAATAGGACACAGGAAATAAGAGATCTCTCTCATCCTGATGACTGGCATCATGTTCCGGGAAGTCTTACTCCAGCAGATGTTCCGTCTAGAGGAAGTTCTGTTAGATACCTTGTTGAATCAAAATGGTTACAAAGGCCAGAATGGTTAAAATCTCCACCAGAGGAATGGCCAAAATCTCAAATCGTAGCTGATGAGGAAAGCTTAAATCAAGAGAGAAGGAAGACGGCCATGATCAATATTAATAAGGAGATACTCTGGTACCACAATAGGTTTTTCTTCCTACTCGAAGATAGTTAGAAAGTTTGCCTGGATGAAACGTTTCATAGCAAATGCCAAGAAGCCTAAGTTAGAACGGTTCTATCAAGAATTGACTGTCAAGGGAATAAAACAAGCTGAACTGATATTACTATAAAGCATACAGCAAGAAGCTTTTGGCTCAATAACTAATCCTGTTTTGAAATATCTATATCCTCAGCTTGATGAAGATGGTTTAATCCGTGTTACTACAATCTCATACAACAAGAAGATACTAACACTTTCAAACGGCCAATAATATTGACCAGCAAACATTCAGGTGTTCATTTGCTTATCTTGGAACATCATAGAAGATTTAGCCATGCTGGAGTACAGACGTTAATGGCTCAACTGAGAGAAAACTTCTGGATACTAAGATGTAGAAAACCTGTTCGTGAAGTTTTGAGATATTGCAAGAATTGTAGAAGCTTTGAAGTTTCCAATGCTGAGGTTATGCCTGCCCCTTTACCAGAAAATCGTGTAAAGAATGCAGCTGCATTTTGAAATAAAAGGAATTGATTTAGGAGAGCCATTATACTTCAGAAATGGAGATAAAGCTTGGTTCGTCCTCTTCACATGCGCTGTGATTCGAGCAGTGCACATAGAGTTAGTACAATCACTGAGCACCGAAACCTTTTGTTTAGCATTTCGAAGACTCGTATCGAGAAGAGGAAGACCCTTGTATGTTTAATCTGATAACGGTACAAATATTGTAAGAACTAATAATATTTTACACCAAATAGAATGGCAAAAGGTACAGGAATTGGCTTCAGTTAAGAGGATTCAGTGGATTTTCATCCCTCCTACCGCCGCCTGGTGGGGCAGATGGTGGGAGCGAGTAATTGGAATGACTAAAGGAATCTTAAGAAGAATCCTGGGACGAGCTCGACTACATTATGATGAACTGGCTACCATTTTATGTGAAGCAGAATATATAATCAATAGCCGCCCCTTGACTTCCCTGTCAGAGGATGCTGAAGACTTACAACCTTTAACTCCATCTTTATTTTTACAAGAAATACGTACTGGATCTCTACGTGAATTAGATGTTTTCGATTCGAGTCATTTAATAAAACGTTTTCGTTATCGTCAGAAACTTAAATCTGAATTATCTGAATTAAATGATCTGATGAAAAGATTTCGGATAGAATACCTGAGTCAGTTAAAATCTTACTCCAACTGCAAACACCCAGCCACCCTTAGAGTAAGTCAAGTTGTTCTCATTGGAAGTGACAATAGCAAACGAATAGGCTGGCCTATGGGCAGAATACTTGAACTTTATCCCGGACAAGACCAAAATACTCGTGTTGCTCGCATAAAAACTATGAATGGCGAACTATTAAGACCCTACGAAAGACTTTATCCTCTTGAAGTTGAAGACAGTCCATAATGTTCCGTGGTAAAAACTAGATATGGACGTATAGTAAAACCAACTCAGAGACTGAGTCTGTAACTTATTTTATTAACAGATTGGTTGCATTCCTACACCAGAATGCAAGGTGGGAGGAAATGTCGCAACCCCCACAGTATAGAATGGAGTGTTTCTAATTTAAACTCCGGGCATCTGCGCATGCCCAGAAACTTTGATGACTCTAACTTCTTTTGATTTATTGCTATGTTGTTTTTCCGTTAAGTGTCTCCTGTATTGTCCGACTTGTCCACGTTGATCTTGAATTTCCAGGCTGTGAGCCAGGACTCGAGTGTGTGGATGTGAGCTTGGAGTGCTTGTATAACTGGACCAGGAGATGCATTTTTCGAAAGAATTGCCGTGTCGTCGGCGTACATAGCCAGGGTGGTGTGTGGTGATTGTGGGATATCGTTCGTGTAGATATTATAGTAGATGGGCCCAAGGAGGCTCACTTGCGGGACTCCAGCCCTGGTAGCCTGTGAGGTTGAGTATGTGTTGTTTACACGAACGATAAAGTGTCTATCCTTAAGATAGGAGTAGGTGATGGCTGTAATGTAGTTTGGGAAACCCAGGGAGATAATTTTGTACATGAGGCCCTCCAGCCAAACACGATCAAAGGCTTTAGCTACATCGAGGAAGATGGCACCTGTAGTCTGTCGCTCCTGCAGTCCTTGCGAGATGTATTCCGTCACCCGGTACAGCTGGTGGACAGAAGAGTGTTTCTTCCTGAAACCATGTTGTTGTGGAATGATGACGTTATTCTGGTCCATGTATCCATGGAGTCTCTTCAGGATAATGTGCTCCGCCACCTTGCTGAGCGAGGACAGAAGACTAATAGGCCGGTAGGAGGCTGGTTCTGCAGGAGGCTTGCCAGGCTTAGATATGGGAATGACGATGGCTGTCTTCCAGGGCGTTGGAAAATGGCCCAGTCTAAGCATGTCGTTTATGATAGCAACCAGTTTCAGTAGCATGAGAGTCCCCATACACTTGATCATCTTGTTTGATATTTTGTCGATGCCTGGGCTTTTCTTGAACAGAAGTTTTTCGATGTAGCCGTAGACCTCTGAGAGTTTGACAGGAGTAATGTTGTTCGTGTGTGGTTTTGAGAGGAATTCTGTTAGTGTGGTGTTAACAAGGTGTTCTGTTTGAGGGTGAGAAATGTTGTTTGTGCAAAATTGAGAAGCATAGTGATCAGCTAGTGACTCAGCTTTCTCAACTTCAGTGAGGGCAATATTCTGTTGGCCGTTTAAGGGCGGATTATTGGTGTTATTGGTGTGGCATCTCTTGAGCTTAGCAGTCGCCTTCCAGACAGAGCTTATCAGGTTCTGTGTTCCTCCTTACTTGCTTTGGGAACATTAAATGTGTCCTGAATCGGAACAGGGAGCTTACTAAAGCTATGTTCAATAAATTTGGGAAGTAGACAATACACACAGGAAGGGTATACGAAACCCTTTATTTTTCTCTCTTTACAATGATTTCCGGACTTCGGAATACAGAGACCAACCACTTGTGGTCTGAACGTAAGAATATGAAAATATTAACTAAACTCTAACTAAACTAACTTTGGATTAATAAACAAGTGCCTACTTGAAGATTGGCCGTATATTAGCAAAAAGCCGTATGTAGTACAGAGAACTGCTAACACTACGATACGTTTAAAATTATCAAGAGGATTAAACCTCTGGCCTTGAAGGCAACCAGCAACCGAGTAAAACTGCTATGGCAAGCGGCCTGCTTCTAATAGCTCCTTCCTCTCTCTTGCTTTGCAAAAAGCCACAACTTAAGTACTTGGCGTTCGCAAGACAAATTTGCATAAATAAGTTAAAGCTTTTAATTCTGGCCGGAAGTAGAAAATAAGAAGTGATAGTAAAGATTTAAAATAAAATAAACGTTAGTAAAACTTAGGATCCTTACAAGCTTTGATCTGCTGAAAGGGAGGTGAGATAGTTGGTCCAGTCACGTTGTGTGTGTTGGTGAGTGCGAGTCCTGACCTGATGGTTGAGTCGGTTGAGTGCAGTTTTGTCCGCAGGAAACCTGTACCTTTGCCATTCCTTGCGAGCAGCATTTCTCTCCTGTATGAGTTTCGTGAGTTCAGGATCAGTGGCTTTTTGCCTGTGAGGGACAGGCGTGCTGTTTGCATCCAGGGCTGTGGTTAAGTCCGTGGTGAATTTTTGGACCAATGCATCTAATTCATCACCCGTGCTGGCTGTTGGAATCTGTAGTGTGGTGTTGTTTAAGGCTTTGGCATATCCTGCCCAATTAGTAATGAAGGCCTTTTTGTGTGGTGTGCTACAGACAGAGGTCCCCACCTGTATCATGACCGGATTATGGTCAGAGGATAGCTCGGTGAGGGTTTGGATAGATCTGTGGTGGCAGCCTTTAAGAAGGAAAAAATCCAGAACATTGGCTGATCTGCCGTTGTAGCGTGTTGGGGTGTCTGCAGCTGCAATATTATTCATGAAATCAAAAATAATGTGAAAATGTACCAGGAGTTCTCCGTCGACATGCAAGGCAAGTGTGCATGGCTATGTTACAACCTTTATGATTCTGCTAAACTTGTACTTGATGTAAATTGTGATGATAATGGAAATTCCAATGTTAGCAAAATTGTAAAAAATAAGAGGAAATTCTCTGCCAAATATGCAAAAATAAATGATGATGATGGGTTTCAAAAACCATCTAAGACAGCAAAAGGCGTTAGGCTGACTCAGCCTCAGGGAATACTACCTTTGCAAAACAAATTTGCAAACTTATTATGCCACTGAGGCAGGTTGGCAAAATAGTGAATTACAGAGCCTAGGTAGTTTGAGCGATTGCAGTTCCATGCGCGGTGGTGTGCGTTGAAGTCTCCGCCTATTATAGTTTTTCTGTTAAGTTGGAATAGTGCTTCAAAATCCTGCGCAATATTCGCTTGTGATCTTTTGTTGCTGGGCATATAGGCAGAGATAACAGTGAGTGGGTGTGAAGTGAGTGTGGTGACTGTAATAGCTATGGCCTCGAGGCCTAAAAGCTGTGGCAGTGTTGTGTGGTGATGGGTGATGGAGCGCTTGACGAGGATGATAAGTCCACCTCCTGGATGACTGTTAGTCCTCTCGCGGTCGAGCCTGTAGACGCAGTAGTTGGCAATCTGGACATTCGTGTGTGGACTAAGCTTGTGTTCCTGTAGGAGTAAAATGTCAGGACAATGCTCATTTACAAAAATGCGTAGTTCATCAAGTTTGTGAAATAATCCATTTGCGTTCCATGTTACAATTACAAGTTCATTTATCATTATTACTCATTA